TGTAGTACGTGGGTGAAGCATTTATAGTGTTGTGATTCGAACAAAATTCGTCAGTGAAGCACTTGTTCCGGAAGTGTTCGAACGTCAGCAGTTGTGAGTCGTGTGTAAACCGCTTTTCATTCATAAACAGGGGGTTTGGCGGGTGCATGGAATCACTTTTGGATCTTTGTTTGGAGGACGGGCTGCGAGCAGACAGCACGCTGGACTTGTGAGCCTGTGGTCTCGGGTTCGATTCCGGGCGCCGGCGAGAAACAATGGGCAGAGTTTCTTTCACCCTATGCTCCTGTTACCTAGCAGTAAAATAGGTACTTGGGTGTTAGTCAGCTGTCACGGGCTGCTTCCTGGGGGTGGAGGCCTGGTCGAGCACCGGGCCGCGGGTACACTAAAGCCCCGAAATCATCTCAAGATAACCTCAAGATAACGTGCTATAAATACAAATAATCGCCAACAGAACCTAAACACCTAACCTAACCTATGCTTAAATATGCACAATATGGTAATATAAAATAATATTAATTATATTTGAGAAAATTCCTGTTTTGAATTAACAGCATGTTAAAATTGATTTATGTGTCTTTGGGATCGACCGCTGGATGGAATGGACTTGGTCTGAGGACGGGTTGTGCTTATAAGAACAATAACCATTGATGGTTAAGTTTCGAAGCTCGTAAAAGAGTTAAAATAACGTAAACAATGCCGCCATGATTGAGGAAAGATGTACAGGTTTCGTAAGTGGTTGCGTAAATGTTTGACGAATCGTTGCCGAGGTGTAGAGGATGAGGGGGAGGCTCCACTACCCCATGTTTGAACTAGCAGGTGAGGTGCGGTAACCATGGGGACGCGCCTCATACGCCGCACCTCCATGCTTCATGACGCACCTTACATGCACCTTACGCACCTTACATGCACCTTACACGCTTCGTATAGCGCATATGTGTGAACCTTGACAGTGTTGCATGCACTTGTGCACTAGCATGCACCACCAACTGGTTATACTGTGCAGATATTAATGTTATTACATGTATCTTGACACTATAAACATGGTGGAGAGCAGCCTCGCCGCCCCCCCCCCTCCATCATGCACCTGTGCCAAGGTGGTGATGGGTGGTGATCACCCCCACCCCCCGACCTTCACCACGTACCTGTGTCGGGAACTCCTGGTCAGGCATCAGGCCGAGTGGTCCAATATTGTTGATCCTACCGGCCACTCCGTAGTCACCTGTCTGGACCACTGAGGCACCTGTCTGGGCCACTGAGGCACCTGCCTGGACCACTGAGGCACCTGTCTGGACCACTGAGGCACCTGCCTGGACCACTGAGGCACCTGTCTGGACCACTGAGGCACCTGCCTGGACCACTGAGGCACCTGTCTGGACCACTGAGGCACCTGTCTGGACCACTGAGGGCCTCAGCAGGGTGTGGAGAGACACGTGGTCGTCTTGGTCACCACACACACACGTGGTCACAACTCGCCCAGCCACTCCCCCGCTGCACATGCTCCAAGATACGTCATATTCGACTCCGTGTCGGCCCTCATCTGGCGTTAATGAATCTGAATCTCTCTCCCAGATTCAATGTGGCAAAGTAGCGTCAACACCTAAACTAGAAGACTGACTAGGTAACAGTCAATAGTCACTAACTGGCATGCATAGTTAACTACCATTTTGCCTAGCCACCACTATAGGCCTCTACTGACACCACTACTGCACGCGTCTTCCCGCCGACGCGCGTGTTGGAAGCGTGTACTGACTGACCACGTGGTACACTCCCCTCAGCTGAGCGCGCGTGCATCCATAGTTGCCATCAACTCCTTTCATATCGACCCATTGCATCTCCGCCTCACATCTATGCAATGTTCCAATCGCTCCCATATTAACCCAAACGACGTGCAGACGCCTCAACATCGACCATTCACTCGTCACAGTAAAATCCAACGATAGAAATATCTATTAGAAAAACGTTTACTTCCAAAGAAAACAATGGAAAAAAGGCCAAACAAAATGGCAATCCACGTGTTGACAAAATACGCGTGGGATTATCGACAGGTTCCCGCGGGCCGCCCCAGCTTCGATAATACCTTCGTGTCCCTCCTCCATCCTGGGCGCACCAGATCACGCTTATTTCCCAGGATGGACAACAAAGTTCTCCCTTCCCATCCACCTCAGACAGCTGCCAATATTATCCGGAGTGAAACCGGGCCTTCACTGACAGCCCTCGTCCAGGCGACAGCTAAGACATCTTCGTGTCTTGACCTCACAACATTGTCAGGAAACAGCCCACCACACAGGTGAGAGGGAATGGAACCCACACCACACAGGTGAGGGGAAACACCACACAGGTGAGAGGGAACGGAACCCACACCACACAGGTGAGGGGAAATGGAACCCACACCACACAGGTGAGGGGGGAACGAAACCCACACCACACAGGTGAGGGGGGAACGAAACCCACACCACACAGGTGAGGGGGGAACGAAACCCACACCACACAGGTGAGGGGGGAACGAAACCCACACCACACAGGTGTGGGGAAACTGAACCCACGCCACACAGGTGAGGGGAAACTGAACCTACACCACACAGGTGAGGGGAAACTGAACCTACACCACACAGGTGAGGGGAAACTGAACCCACACCACACAGGTGAGGGGAAACACCACACAGGTGAGGGTAAACGGAACCCACACCACACAGGTGAGGGGAAACACCATACAGGTGAGGGGAAACACCACACAGGTGAGGGGAAACCACACAGGTGAGGGGAAACACCACACAGGTGAGGGGAAACCACACAGGTGAGGGGAAACACCATACAGGTGAGGGGAAACACCACACAGGTGAGGGGAAACACCACACAGGTGAGGGGAAACACCACACAGGTGAGGGTAAACACCACACAGGTGAGGGTAAACGCCAGACAGAGGGGTAAAGACACCACCACCACCAGACACGTGTACCAACACGCACCCCCAACATTACAGTGGAGTGTGACCCCGGGTGAAGAGCGAGAGGTGAGAGAGGGCATCCTCTCCCGAGACGGGCTCGTGCCCCCGAGCACTCAGCCTTCACAACATCGCGTGTGGCCAGATTATCCTGATTGCATCCCATTATTCCTGCCGGCCTGCCACCGCTCCTGATGCTGAGGCTCACAACCCTCTGCCTCCTCGTGGTCCAGCAGGGCGCCGGCTCACACACCTTCACCTCATCTGCCGCTCGCCGCCTCTGCTTATATCAAACATTGCGTGCTTGTGGACGCAAGCACGCAGTCTTTCTTGCGTCCCCTACCATTTCTGGACGCAATAGTTCACATTTTATATATTCCAAATAACAGTGGCTATAGGTACGATCACTGTTGAAGGCTGGGTTGATATACCCACACTAACAGAGTGCCGGACCAACCGGGCTGTGGTGGGTATATGGGCCTGCGGGCCGCTCCAAGCAACAGCCTATTGGACCAAACTCTCACAAGTCAAGCCTGGCCTCAGGCAGGGCTTGGGGAGTAGAACAACTCCCAGAACCCCATCAACCAGGTATCAACCAGGTAAACCCTAACTATATCAACAACCTTGTGTCCACCAGCGCCCTATCCACCATATGGCCGCACCCACACGACCCTATCAACCCTAAACCACACCAAGCCACTCATTACAGTTCCGCCCACCTTTAGCCAAGTGGAACTTAAAGAAAATGTAATATAAAGTAGTAAGAATTGTACAGTGTGGTCGACAGCTGGGGCGGCCACACGCGATGCTTGCGTGCTCCACAACAGATAAATGGAACACTTCTCTTTGAGGCCCTGGCATGCAGGACGCCTCCACGCTGCCTGCAGGAGCCACACACACTCAGGACGCCTCCACGCCGCCTGCAGGAGCCACACACTCAGGACGCCTCTACGCCGCCTGCAGCCACACATTCAGGACGCCTCCACGCCGCCTGCAGGAGCCCCACACTCAGGACGCCTCCACGCCGCCTGCAGGAGCCACACACTCAGGACGCCTCCACGCCGCCTGCAGGAGCCCCACACTCAGGACACCTCCACGCCGCCTGCAGGAGCCCCACACACTCAGGACGCCTCCACGCCGCCTGCAGGAGCCACACACTCAGGACGCCGCCACGCCGCCTGCAGGAGCCACACACTCAGGACGCCTCCACGCCGCCTGCAGGAGCCCCACACACTCAGGACGCCTCCACGCTGCCTGCAGGAGCCCCACACACTCAGGACACCTCCACGCCGCCTGCAGGAGCCACACACTCAGGACGCCTCCACGCCGCCTGCAGGAGCCCCACACACTCAGGACACCTCCACGCTGCCTGCAGGAGCCACACACACTCAGGACACCTCCACGCCGCCTGCAGGAGCCACACACTCAGGACGCCTCCACGCCGCCTGCAGGAGCCCCACACACTCAGGACACCTCCACGCTGCCTGCAGGAGCCACACACACTCAGGACACCTCCACGCCGCCTGCAGGAGCCACACACTCAGGACACCTCCACGCCGCCTGCAGGAGCCCCACACACTCAGGACACCTCCACGCTGCCTGCAGGAGCCACCCACACTCAGGACACCTCCACGCCGCCTGCAGGAGCCACACACTCAGGACGCCTCCACGCCGCCTGCAGGAGCCACACACTCAGGACGCCTCCACGCCGCCTGCAGGAGCCCCACACACTCAGGACACCTCCACGCCGCCTGCAGGAGCCCCACACACTCAGGACACCTCCACGCTGCCTGCAGGAGCCCCACACACTCAGGACACCTCCACGCTGCCTGCAGGAGCCACACACACTCAGGACACCTCCACGCCGCCTGCAGGAGCCCCACACACTCAGGACACCTCCACGCTGCCTGCAGGAGCCACACACACTCAGGACACCTCCACGCCGCCTGTAGGAGCCACACACTCAGGACGCCTCCACGCCGCCTGTAGGAGTCATACACACTCAGGACGCCATTCCAGACAAAGTGACACCTTAACAGTAACCTTCCAGACAAAGTGACACCTTAACACTTACCTTCCAGACAAAGTGGCACCTTAACACTTACCTTCCAGACAAAATGGCACCTTAACACTTACCTTCCAGACAAAGTGACACCTTAACAGTAACCTTCCAGACAAAGTGACACCTTAACAGTGACCATCTAGAAAAAGTGACACCTTAACAGTTACCTTCCAGACAAAGTGACACCTCAACACTTACCTTCCAGACAAAGTGACACCTTAACAGTGACCTTCCAGACAAAGTGACACCTTAACACTTACCTTCCAGACAAAGTGACACCTTAACAGTAACCTTCCAGACAAAGTGACACCTTAACAGTTACCTTCCAGACAAAGTGACACCTTAACACTTACCTTCCAGACAAAGTGACACCTTAACAGTGACCTTCCAGACAAAGTGACACCTTAACAGTGACCTTCCAGACAAAGTGACACCTTAACACTTACCTTCCAGACAAAGTGACACCTTAACAGTAACCTTCCAGACAAAGTGACACCTTAACAGTGACCTTCCAGACAAAGTGACACTTTAACAGTGACCTTCCAGACAAAGTGACACCTTAACGGTGACCTTACAAAGTGACACCTTAATAGTTACCTTACAAAGTGACACCTTAACAAAACACTTGTAACTTTTATATATAAAATAGAACACAATAATACAAACACCTTCGATAAAGTCCATTAAAATAAATGTTAAGGTGATTGTACATTACAACCCAACACCCTCCTGCCTTAGGCCTACTCACCTGGCTCCCCCACCTGCTGGCCTGCCATAGGCTTACTCACCTGGCTCCCCCACCTGCTGGCCTGCCATAGGCCTGCTCACCTGGCTCCCCCACCTGCTGGCCTGCCATAGGCCTACTCACCTGGCTCCCCCACCTGCTGGCCTGCCATAGGCCTACTCACCTGACACTTCCCTTGGAGGACAGTGGACAATGTATATATGCTGGTTAGCACTGTAAATGTGTGGCCACGTCTGTGGTAGAAAATAATAAATCCTACGAAGGTGTAGGAAGTGACCCAGAAGACGCCCCGCGTGCAGCAAGAGGCAGCCAAGCAGACGGCCCATCCTCTCTCAGGCGGCCCAAGATGAAGGAGGCCGGGTAGAGATGATGAGAGGCGAGGAAGGTGACTATCAATCAATATGAAGCGTGAGTCTCCCGGGCCATCCAGCGGGTATCGATCACGCTACAATATACGAGGAAGCTCACTCCGGCACTCAGTCACGCTAATGAAGGCGGCGACTAACGTCAAGCAGGACCAGGGAGCCCCTCTTCCCTACCCACCATTACTGTTACTGCAAGCCATCAGCGCCGCGATCAGCACGCACAACACCCTCATCCACGGCCAACACAAACGGCTTACAAATTACACTAAATACAACGCTGTAATTCTTCAAATACCATTACAAAAAGGTACAGTCCTCGTTCATGCCAGTAATCAAAATACAGGAGGAGCCAAATATTACAGCGACGACCTCACACCACCGAACACCCCCCACCCCCCCAACCCCGCCTCGGGATTACACTAATGACTTGACGACTGAGCTAAACAGCCCAAAGTAAATATAATTATCCTGAACCAACGACAGATGAGGAATAAATTGTTGAGGCGAGATGAGTTTGATGTGTCGGGAGGGAGGGAGAGAGGGGGAAGGGACGGGAGGGAGCAGAGGGAGAGGGAAGGATGGATGACGGGAGTGATGAGGGAGGGGAGGGAGGGGAGGGAGGGATGAGGGAGGGGTGGGAGGGAAACTAATAATGTTTACAAGGCGTCACCATGACCACCGTTGCCAGGGGTCACCAGCCACCTCCACGTCACTCACTCCATCCCACAACCACGCCCCCCGTTACTTCCCCCACACCCCACAACCACGCCCCCCGTTACTTCCCCCACACCCCACAACCACGCCCCCCCGTTACTTCCCCCACACCCCACAACCACGTCCCCCCGTTACTTCCCCCACACCCCACAACCACGGCCCCCGTCACTTCCCCCACACCCCACAACCACGGCCCCCGTTACTTCCTCCACACCCCGCAACCACGCCCCCCCCCCGTTACTTCCCCCACACCCCACAACCACGTCCCCCCGTTACTTCCCCCACACCCCACAACCACGCCCCCCCCCCGTTACTTCCCCCACACCCCACAACCACGCCCCCCGTTACTTCCCCCACACCCCACAACCATGCCCCCCCCGTTACTTCCCCCACACCCCACAACCATGCCCCCCCCGTTACTTCCCCCACACCCCACATCCACGCCCCCCCCCGTTAATTCCCCCACACCCCACAACCATCCCCCCCCCGTTACTTCCCCCACACCCCACAGCCATGCACCCCCCGTTACTTCCCCACAGCCCACAACCATGCACCCCCCCCCGTTACTTCCCCCACACCCCACATCCACGCCCCCCCCCCGTTACTTCCCCCACACCCCACAACCACGCTCCCCCCCCCCCCCCCCGTTACTCCCTAAACAACCACGCCCCCCGTTTTTACCCCGCCTCCCAAAATTGTATTATATATATATATATATATATATATATATATATATATATATATATATATATATATATATATATGTCGTACCTAGTAGCCAGAACTCACTTTTCAGCCTACAATGCAAGGCCCGATTTGCCTAATAAGCCAAGTTTTCATGAATTAATATATTTTCTCTAATTTTTTTCTTATGAAATGATAAAGCTACCCATTTCATTATGTAAGATGTCAATTTGTTTTTATTGGAGTTCAAATTAACGTAGATATATGACCGAACCTAACCAACCCTACCTAACCTAACCTAACCTATCTTTATAGGTTAGGTTAGGTTAGGTAGCCGAAAAAGTTAGGTTAGGTTAGGTTAGGTAGGTTAGGTAGTCGAAAAGCAATTAATTCATGAAAACTTGGCTTATTAGGCAAATCGGGCCTTGCATAGTAGGCTGAGAAGTGAGTTCTGGCTACTAGGTACGACATATATATATATATATATATATATATCAGAGAGGAGGGGAAGATTAGGAAGAGCGGGGGGTGTGAGGAGAGGATGAATGAAGGGGGTTGAATGGGGGGGGGAGTTAAGCTATCCCAAGCACCGCTTCAAGTACAATACAAATCTTAACTTTAAACTTTGCCCAAAACTCTCTGACCAGTATTTTCTCATTACTTTCCGAATCTTGAAGTATGACAAATATGACATATGATGAAATACAGCTTTCCTCCCGCCCGTGAGTCTGGTGTCTGCTATATATATATCATATCTGCTTCAAGGCGGTCGGTAACCTAAATAGTATTTGCTTGATCCTAAAATCTTAATTAACTTATCTGTTGACATGTATATATTTAATACTCCACTTGAAGTAAATTGTCCCACAATATGGTTTTCAATTCGTAAAACTATTCCCATGAAGATTAAATAATAATTTCAAAGTAAAATAAGAAAGGGAATAATAATGTAGTGTGAAGGAGGCAGAAGCGCCTCGCCCTGGTAACCTGGCCAGGCTGCGCGCGCATCACACAACACTACAATGTAAACAAACACTTGAATCATAAGATTGTAACTTGCTTAGCTAAATGAATTGTGGGGTTCAGTCCCTGAGCCCATTATGTGCCTCTGTAACCCTTTCCACTACCGCCCACAAGATGGGTATGGGGTGCATAATAAATGAACTAAACTAAAAAAACTCTCCACACCTGACACGGTCACGACGCAGCACCACAGTAATCGGTCTCAATAAGACGTGATCATTACGTGTTCAACTATAATCATCAAGAATTATATCACCCCTAGTTTTTCAAAAGTTGCTGACCCCCCAAGATTACTATATGCCAAGTTATTATATTATCTCAAGATATGGTGTATTTTGATAAAACAATGTCGGTAGTGTACGAGCAATAACAGTAGCATGCAAGGAAAACATTTCAAACTTTCACCTGGACCACATCTCATGACGGCAAAATTCTAGGACGGCCAGGATCTCCCAGCCATGAGCCTGACCCTAGGATGATGTCCTGACCTCCTCCTCACAGCCTACGAGCCGGTGCTGCCCCGCTGCCCACCAGGCCCATAATCCCAGCCTAATATTTTGAACGTGGCGGCGGCTACGAGGCCATGAGGGCGGGCCTGGGATCAGCTGACAGCTGTAAACAAACCCCCTTAACACACAATCTCTTGAACAGGCGTGACGTTTCCGGCGAGTACTCCACGCTCGGTCATGGTATGACTTCCTTTTGAGTATGTGTAAATTCCGCGCATAATCAAGGGAAGAGTACGGTAATATGGAGCGGTGTACTCACCCTAGACACGGTGTTTAATTCCTCAAGAGGCATCACGGCCAGCACACATCTTCGTATATTCGCCGCCACTACGAAGTCCCGTTTTCTATGGGGGAATGCCAGGCTGCCTGACCTTGCTCTGTAAAGTATTTCCGTCAACACAAGCTGTTTAGTAGTAAATTATAATATATCATGAATTTTATATGGCTGCTGAGACTCTACAAAAGACAGAGCACTGTAATGATTGTTAGCGCCTTTGCGAAGATGTATATAAAAATATTTGTTTTTAAATCCAGTTTGACTAACCGTTATGCTAATATGTTGTATTGTATGTATGCATTAATATTTTTTACACAATACTCTATATACATTCCTTGTAAATAAATCTGACTAAAGCAGTTTTATAACCTTATACACATCTCAATATATCTTAATAATATCAATAACTAGATGGACACTAAAGAAAATGAAAATACCTATATAGAGCGTACACAAAAGTAAAAATAATTGCAATACATAAGTCCCATTATCGGAGACATGAAGCTTATTGAGGTCCTTCTAGGCTAATTACTAAATAACTAATTATTACTTACTAATATACTAATTACTGACTAGAAATAATTATCATATGCTACAATGTACCTGTTGATAACCCTCAAATTTTACTATAATATACCTACTAATCTTCTTCAAATTTTCTTATAATGTACCTGTTAACA